CATCACTAAAGACAATTTCTGCTGAAGATGAGAATAAGATTCAGCCATCTGTTTAGAAGTTAAGAACACTCTAAAGATATTGCTATAGCTCCAGGGTTCTTAGCCTGAATTTGGGAAGTGGGTGACTAGGTGTTTGAAAACCCTGAAATTATAGACATTCAACTGTCTTTTGCAAAAAAAAAAAAAAAGGAGTTTATTAGGGGGCTTAAATAAAGTCCAGGGATTAATAATGCTTGGGGGGAAAAAGTATATCTAGTTATTCAGATGATATTGCCAAACCTCTTCTCCCCTCCCTTCCTCTCTCTCCTCTTCCCTCTCTCTCATCTTTTTCCTCTATGTTGGCCTTATTCTCAGGCAGCTTCTTTCTATGTGGTTATGGCAACATGGCCTCCAGCTGCTTTAGTCTAACGTTGTGCCAACTTAGAAATCTTGTAGGAAGCTGCTTTCCTAGTAGTTCTTGCTAAGGTCACATGGTGTTTGCTCATTGGCTGAAATTGGATCATGTTCTAAATCTGAAACAATCCCTGTGACTGACTGGCCAAGTGCAGGTCAGGGGCCATCCTTGGAGAGTAGGGGGTGGGGGATGGGTGGATGTCAGCCATGCCCAAAAACATGATGGAGGGAGAGGGAGAAACAGAGAATGGAGGGGGTTGGTTCCTTAAAGAAAAAGCAAGGTGCTATCATAAAAAGAAGTGAGCACAGATCACAAACCGTCATCAGTGGTTCCTAATCTTGGTTCCACCTTGGAATCATCTGGACAGCTTAAAAACAACTACTAATACCTAGTGTTTTTAAAAGCTTCCTTGGTGATTTTAATGAGCACCATGTTTAAAGACCATTGACCTACTATCCCCTCCAAATTGTCCCGAGGACATCACCTTAAAACATCTAGATGCAGGCAGGTGACAGGATTTATTTTCTTAAATCCCCCAACTCAAAACTTGGCCAGATATCTGATGTCGATTCCCCTTTCCTTCATGTTCATGGAGAGTCTGTCCTAGTGGCCAGCTCTGCACGGGCTGGGAGTGTTTTTGTTTACCAGTGTATACCCACTGCCTAGAACAGAGCCGGGCACATAGTATCCAAAGAGATGGGTTGGGTGGGCAGACCAAATATCTATCCATTTGTGTATCATAGCCCCCATGCAGTGGATCACAAGCAAATAAACTTCACTTTTATTTATTTTCATTTATTTACTTATTTTTTAGTCCTCACCCGAGGTTATTTTTTCCATTGACTTTTAGACAGAGTGGAAGGGAGAGGAAGAGACAGAGAGAAACACCTTTGTGAGAGAGGCAGACTGATTGGTTGCCTTCTGCATGCCCCCAACCAGGGCCGGGAGCCTGCAACCGAGGTACGCCCCCTTGACTGGAATGGAACCCAGGACTCTTCAGTCCACAGGCTGACGCTCTATCCACTGAGCCACACCGGCTAAGGCTAAAATTCACTTTTAGAAGGACTGAAGGTGCTGGCCATTTTCTGTTCTGGGCTTACAAAGAACAGCAAAATGGGTGTTGTCTTTGGTGATATGGAAGAGAGAACTAGACAATAGTACTGGTTGCCGTGGGTCAGAACTGAAACCCAGGATAACTATGATCCTGCAGTAACTCAAGCTGGCAAGATGAGAAGGGCCAATAGGACGATCAGGGAATCGAATCAGGATGCAGGTTGCATAAGCAATTTGAACTTTCATCTCTCTGTTTGGTATGTGGAGCACCTCCTGCTCAGCAATGAGGTTCTTATGTAATTCTTGCCAGTGGGGCCTTGGGGGATGGCAGGGGTAGAACTAGAAGTTAGATTTTGACTTTAGATTTTGTTTTTCCTATGAGGTAGAACTTTTTAGAGATAAACCATCAAAATCTCATCATAGTTCATTCATTCCATTTTCTCGGATGTAAAAGAGGTCCCTACCTTATAAGGTTTTTCGTATACCGGTGGTCGGCAAACTGTGGCTCGCGAGCCACATGGGGCTCTTTGGCCCCTTGAGTGTGGCTCTTCCTAAGCCTTAGGAGTACCCTAATTAAGTTAATAACAATGTACCTACCTATATAGTTAAAGTTTAAAAAATTTGGCTCTCAAAATAAATTTCAGTCATTGTACTGTTGATATTGGGCTATGTTGACTAATGAGTTTGCCGACCACTGGATAGACAAATGAATTAATAGAAAGCAATTAGGAACTGCTTGGCACAAATAAATGCTCAATACATGATAGTGATTGTTACTCATTAAATTGTCTACTATCATTTACTGAGCATCTACATGTTCCAACTGTGAGGCAGATGCTGCAACATATAGATAAACTAGAGGCCAGGTGCATGAAATCATGCACAGGTGGAGTGCCTTGGGGTGGCCTGTGGGGATCGGGCTGAAACCTGTCCAAAGCCGCCTGCAGCTCCTGCCTGCTGCTCCCACTCATCCTGGCCCCGCTGTGCCTGCCTCAGGCTCGAGCCCAGTCAGTCCCAGGAGTCCCTGCATCTGGCGCCTGTCCCAAGGAGGGTGGGGGAAGGGGCTGGGATGTGATTGGCCCTTCGGGCAGGTGGTGGGATGCCCTTGCCAGCCCAGAATCCGGATCTGTCCCGCTGACATTCACACTGGTTGTCAGGAGCTACCTGGCTGCCACTTTTATATTGTTTCTTCCTTGTGGAGTGTCTAGGGAAGGGAAGTGGCAGTGGTGCCCGAGGCCAACTTCCAGGAGGCTAGTGGTGCTGTTGGGATCGTGCTAGCAGCGCCGGTTTGTCGGTGCCTGGCCCATTCTCTGGAGATTGGACCTGCAGGACTACTGAAGGAGTGAGTGGCTGCCACCAGGCTGGTGGGCCTCCTAGACAGGTCGGTCAGCTGAGTGGCACTCTTGCTGTGGGAATGCACTGACCACCAGGGGGCAGCTCCTGTGTTGAGAGTCTGCCTCCTGGTGATCAGTGCGGATCATAGCGACTGGTCAACTTGTCGTGTGGTCGACCAGTCACTTAGGCTTTTCTATATATAGATAAGCACAAGTTAAAACTGAGAAAGAAAGCCCATGCCTTGGTAATCCCTACAAGTCTTGCCCCTTGGCTGCCTTTCTTTCAGGTGGGAATTGCTCTCCTCAGTGATCAAGCTTCTGTTTTTTCTTCCTCTCACTTTCCTGTTTGTTTGTGTTGGTTTTTTTATTGATTTTTCTTTTTTTAGAGAAAGAAACATCCATCGGTTGCCTCCTGTATGTACGTGCCCCATATGTGCCCCAACTGGGGATCAAACCCACAACCTGGGTATTTGCCCTGACCCAGAATCAAACCTGCTGCCTTTTGGTGTATAGAATGGCACTCCAACCAACTGAGCCACACTGGCTAGAGCAAACTTCCCTGTTTTCTGATGAATGAGCCCTCTGTACTCTATGAGTGTTGTATGTTCCTAGCAATCCCTTTTTCCTAAATCTGGACACAAAGGAATGGGAGAGATGCCCAAGAGTGATAACACAGTGATTCCTGGGTAGGTTCAGTTGATGTGGTCCATGGGAGGAGGGGGAATATGGGCTTGGCCTTGAAATATGAAAAAGATTTAAAGAAGAAATCAATGGAACAGAATAAAGGAATGGCAGCTCCACTGGGTGTGGTTGGGAGCAGGGGGTGGATGGAAGTCTTCCACCATAAGATGCTCAGGATTTCTCTGCAGGCTTCACTAACTGGAACTATTCAACATCTCTCTAACAGTATTTCCTTGGATGTGTCTTTTAAAATTCTATTAGCAATATTTTTAAATGATTAGATTGAAGGTCAAAAGAGTGAAGTGACTTGCCTAAGATCAAACAGCTAGTCGGTGGCAAAACAGGTTTGAACTTTGGTTTTATGATTCCAAATCCAGAGTGCGTTCGCACAACATCATTACAGCCCGGAGCCAATAAAAGAGTGAGGTGCCGTAGCCGGTTTGGCTCAGTGGATAGAGCGTCGGCCTGCAGACTGAAAGGTCCCAGGTTCGATTCCAGTCAAGGGCATGTACCTTGGTTGCAGGCACATCCCCAGTGGGGGGTGTGACGAGGCAGCTGGTTGATGTTTCTCTCTCATCGATGTTTCTGACTCTCTATCCCTCTCCCTTCCTCTCTGTAAAAAATCAATAAAATATACTTTTTTTAAAAAAGTGAGGCACTGTTAGCAGTATTAGCATGAAATATTAAAAGGAGGGGGAAAGCCGGGTTCGTATGGCTCATTGGTTGAGCATGACCCATGAATGTGGAGGTTGGAGTTGGATTCTCTGTCAGGGCGCATGCCCGGATTGGGGGCTGGAAACCCGGTGGGGGGTGTGCAGGGGGACAGCCAATCCATGATTCTCTCTCATCATTGATGTTTCTGTCTCTCTGACCCTCTCCCTTCATCTCTCTTAAATCAATAAAAACATTTTTTTAAAAAAGGAGGGAAAGAAAAGGGATAGGAGGGTGTTTTCAATGCAGAGGAGGTTGTCCATCATTGAAGGCTGAGGGGAAGGTGAGGGTGAACCTGTTGGAGAAAAAAAAAGCATTCTTGAGTCTTGATCCTAAATCTGCTCCTGTCCCACGTCTTTGGCGTCACCTGGTTGTGTGTTTTACGCTAAAGCTGACCGTGGTGGCCTTTGAAGAGAGGAAGCAGCACAGGAGACGCACCAGTTTTGTGCCAGGGGCTGTGTGTCCAACAGATCCTGCTCCCTACGCGCGCCCTGTGCCTGCAGCCACGGGCGGCATTGTCCTTGCGTATTGCGTAAGGCTCTGGGCCACCCCGCTGGCTCGGACTCCAGCAAACAGCTGGACTTTGGAACTCCGCCCCCTTAGGCCCTCCCTCCCCGCCGGGCCCCTCCCCCGACGGCCCCTCCCCTACTCCCCAAGGTGGCTCAGGCTCCCAGAAAGTCCGCGGACGGCCGCGTCGCCTGGAGAGGGAGGGCGTGAAGGAGGGAGCTGGCTCCCGGGCCGGCGGCGCGCTGAAGTTTCCTGCCCGCTGCGCTCCCACCGCTGCTGGCCGCTGGCGCCCGGGCCATGCTGGAGCGCAGGGCGGCAGCATGAAGGGCTCGGACCGGGCTTACACCCGCGGTCCCTCTTTGAGGTGGCTCTTTGCTAAGTGCTGCTGCTGCTTCCCGTGCGGAGGTGAGTGGCTGTCGGCATTGGCATCTGCTCTTAGCCAAAGACTGGGAGGGCTGAGCGCGAGGGAGCGGTGGAGGAGACGGGGTGGGTAGTGGGGAGGTGGCAAGGGGAGAGAGTGCTCTGAACCGCGTTTATTTCAGTTTCCCTGGCAGAACGCGCGCGGCTGGCGCCCGCAGTCTCTCGGCGAGGTTCTGACTTGGTTGCGGAGCTGCAGTTTGCAAACTGTTACTCATTAGCGACTTTGGATGTCCACCGCCAGCCCGCGGGGGGTGGGGTGCGGGTGCGGGGGATGGGGAGAGCGCCCTGGGAGCCGCGCGAGTGTCCGGGGTGGCGGCGGAGTCGCACTTCCCCGCTCTCATTTACATATGGGTCTCAGCTGCCGGATTAACTGGTGACTCTTAGCTATCGGAATGTGTTTGACACTTGTCTCCACACGAGCAACTATTTTTGCCAAGTGACAGTTTTCTTTGGGGACTGGAGCAGCCTTTCTCTGCCTGGGCTTTCGCAGGCCTAAGTAGGTTTGCATCTCATGAATTAACCAAGAACTCTCTAGGTGCCCAAGTATGACTGTATTTAATTTCTCTGCTAATTTTAATGTTGTAGAGGAGACTTGCAGGAAGCAACGAATTCCCCCCAAATCAGCCTGCAAAACCAGACGGCGGGATGTAGGACAGAGGGAAAGTGATCAATTTTGTAGCCCCTCTTGAAAAAGAAGCCCGATTTTCCTAGACCCTTGGGAGATGTCCCTCAAGCCGTCCTGTCACCTCAGCTTGGCGGGTGAGGGGAGAGACTCTGCTTCTGTGTGGTTGGAAGTGAGAGTATGGCCTCTCACCTGACATTTGCCCCTTTTAAGTGTCATCTATTGGACCTGTCACCTCCACCCCCACTTACAGGGCCCCAGTGCCTGTCCTCATTCTGTCTAACAAAGTCCAAACGGAACGTACTCTCTGAGATAAATGAATACACTTTCCAAATAACCCTTCACCGTCTTCTGTGCATATGCCTCATCCTGAGCAGACAGACATAAGCTACAAAAACAAATTAAATAAAAAATGTTCAGAATCACAGCGTTAGATTCTCTCAGTCTGCGTTGCGTTAGAACTGCCAGGAAAGATATGACAGCCAGCTCTCAAAGCCAGAATGCAGATGGAGAAGCAATCACAAAGGGCCAGGACCCTCACAAGAATCCAAGCCTGGTTCAGAGACTTGTGAAACCAAGGCTGGGAACTAAAGGAAGAGGGTGTTAAAGGTGCAAGGACGCAGGAAGTAGCCGGAGGGAGTCTGAGTGGGTGGGTTTGCTCTGCTTTCATGGCGAAGGGTTCCCAAGCAGGGTTTCTTGGGAGTCCGTTTCCTGTCCAAAGGCAGAATTCCGAGACTTGGGCGCTTTTCCAGATGTGTGGCAGCTCAGCTTCCCTACTGAGTAATTCTCTGGGGGTCTCTCCAGCCTCTGCTTTGTTTGTGAGTTGCCCTGGCTATCCCTCTGTCTGCGCCAAGGAGGGGCGGGGAGCCTGCTTAGAGAGACTCTGGGCTGCCTCCTGCCGGCAGGACTAGGGAATCGGAAATCGGTGGCAGAGCTGGAAGAGACCATTGACCCTCAGCCAAAGGCCCGAGCCCTGAAAGCAGCTTTTAAAGGCAAGGAGGGTAACAGAGGTGGGTGCCTTGTCACCTCCCTCTCTACTCCTTTCTCTTCCTTAGACCTGACACATGTGAAGAGAGAGAACTGGGGCTCAAATCTGAGGAAGATGGTGGGGGAGGTGATTAGCCACCCTTCAGAAGCCACCCGCTGGCCTGGGCTGGGCAGGGCGATGGTATCTGAGGGGTTGGGACTCCCCTGGGGCTCCCTCAGTCTGCCCTCACCTAAAAAGCAGCTCTGTCTCCACCCAGCCTACAGACATCTATTCAGAAGCAGATTGAAACGATAAGGCCTTGTGCTGAGCTTGAGTGCATTGCTCAGAGCCCCAAGACTGTCCTGAGAAAAGTTGACCCAGTTGCATCCCAGAGAAGGGCTCAGGGAAGAGGCTGAGAGGCTGAAGAGAGTGGAGGGCATCTCAGCCAGGAGGTCTGCCTCCCTCTTCAGTTAAACCCGTTTCTCTGGTTGTTCAAACTTCATACAGTTGGAAGGCAGCTTCCGCTTTTAAATAAAAGCAGCTGGTTATTTGGGATCTTTCCTGCTCCTCCAGGAGCCGCTCTATGAAGCTGATGGGCCAGAACCCACCACAGTGGTTCCCAACTCAAGGGGCCTTCACTAACTGGCTCCCAGTCCCGCAGGATTGAAGGACACCTTCGTCTAAACTCGGAGGGAAAGGAACGGAGGGGCAATGGAATGTTCTGGCTATTTTTGACTCACAGCTAAGTAAGGAACCCTGGACTTTCTCTGGTGAATCCTAAGTGGTTGTAATTGTTAGCACTAATAGTTGAGGGTAAGACTCAAGGACTTAGTCATGTACTTGTGTGGCCTTTAAATATTATATCTGAGAAAAATATGGAATGAAGTTAGTTAAGCTTGTCTTCTGATTCAGAAAAGTGAGGAAAGCAATTATCTGTGTTTCTCTTCCAGGTTTTGGTTCTGTTGAGTATGAGTATGGTACAGGGGTTTGATGAAAGGTGATCTTTCTTCGCTACCTTGAAATTGGTGTTGAAGGGCAAGGAAACTGCAAAACAAGAGTAGGATGGAAATAGAGATCAGGTGAGAAGGAAGAAAGACAACAAATACATTTATAACTGCCTTTTTGGAAGTGAAAACTAGCCAAATGTGAGAGAATGGCAGACATGTGTCTGAAGGGTGATTAATCACTGATGTCACACTCCGTGGAAAGTTTCAGGATTGTTTTGGCTTCTTATACATTCCTTCAAGGCTGAAGATGTGGGTCAGTTCTGGGTTCTCTTTTAGTTATCTTAACATTTTAAAAAGCTACTTGTTTCAGAGTAACAAAAAGGATTTCACGTCACCTGGAGGTTGCTAAGTCGTGTGTTGCAGGCTGGAATTTGTGACTTCTTCGGTCATGGAGCCTAGAGATTTTTCTGACCTCACCAGGTGGAAGCCATTTTTAGAACCTTTAATTTTTCTGGTCAGCTTGTCATTAAATTTGGGTATGTGGCCCAAAGTCCCTTCTTGGAAACCTTTCCTGCTCCTCCCCTCCCCTGCTCCTCCGCAGTACGTGTGGAATTTATTTAGCTGTATCATTGTCCTTGCATCTCAAGCCCATCATGGGTCTCCATTTACACTGAGACAGGGACAGGACGTGAGTATCACAGAGGAGAGGAAGGGTGGTGACTTACCCAGGCTGAACCACATTCTCATGGCTCTCTCACCACAAGGCCGTTGGATTCCAGCTTGTCTCGGACGTCATGAAGTGTGGATAAGGGTTATGGGGGTTCCCAGGGCATCCCAAGTTATTCTCATCTATAACTTCTTTTTTCCCCCTACCTTTTCCCAGAGCACTGAGAAGAACCTCATGACTTGATGTGATTGTCTCTTCTTTGGCCCATAAATTAATACAGCTCATTTGATAAACGGAATTTAATGTGTGAAACCATGACACCAAGTTCCTTCACAAAGGTGTGGGTAACCTCAAAGAGGAGCCCTTGTGACCTTCACTATCACTTATTTTGATTCACCACCCAAGGGACACAATCTTTGGGACCTTCATGGATGCCCTGTTGTTTCTTCGTTTTCCAGGACCTGCCTTTACCATGATGAAAATTGGATGGACCATTTAGCGTATATGCTTTTCCAAGATATCTCTTGGTTTTTTCTGCCTCCCGGGGATATAATCTGGGGAGAATTACCACACATACTGTCCCCCACCCAAATCCTCTGCTTCTCTCCGCATACCTGGTTCTCTGACTGGGGATGGTAACAGGGATATCAGTTGTTACCTGGAGAACAGCACTGACTGCCAGTCAGAATGGAGCCTCGTAGCAATGGGAGTGTGTGGGGTGAGGTGGAGGCTGGAAACTGAAGCTGAATGTCCCTCCCCTGGCACAGCTGTGGATCCATGATCACTGACAATGCTGTGGGCATGGCACCCCAGTGGTTCCAGGTGCTGCGGCGGTAAGGCCTAACCTGGAATAAAGGGTAACATTTCAGACTCTATCTGTGTTTTTATGCAAAAGAGTTTAAAAGTAAAAAAAAACACACAAGTGAACACAGGATTCCCTGCTGAGCCCGGGTGATATTGCAGGCACACCTTACTCTGGAGTAGGATTGTTGGTGTTCTGTTCCTGATATTCCTCTTGAGAATCTTGATGCTGCTCTCTTCTGCCCGGAAAATACTCCCTGTCCTTCTGAAGTGCTGCTTACTGGTCAGTGAGTGAGAAGCTGCCTGGCCTGCCCTCTCCTTCCGACCAAATTCCCTGGCTTTTCCTGAAGGAAGGCCCTAGGAGAAGCCTGGGGCTCCTCAGGCAGGAGGAGCTAAACTGTGGAAAGTGAGAAGGCACCTTAGAGATTATGTAACAGGTCTTCTCCTTTATCCAGGAGGAAACAGACCAGCCTCTTGGCTGCAGGCTCTGAACGAGGACCCTGCTCCTGTGCCCCATCCTGTCCTCCTCTCACTGTGGTCCTCCTGGGCAAGTCGTTCCTCCCACTCTGCAGAGGAAGGCTGACCCCCTGGTGGGCGGGGCAGAGGCAGGCTGACCCCCTGGTGGGCGGGGCAGAGGCAGTCCCCATCTGGAGCGTGGGAGTGCTGGCTTGGGGTGATCTGTGGTTCTGGGGGTCAGGGAGGGGAGACTGCTGTGCCTGGAGCGAAGTGGAACTGGACCCGCCTGATCTGCTTTGAGTGGCTGTTCTGTCCCAAGACCATGGAAGGCAGAGCTCTCTTTCAGAGCAGCTCGTGCACATGTTCTTAACCCTTTGAGTGCCAACAATATCCTAGGAGCTATGCTGAAATTGCCAGGGCATTTTTGCTGATTTTACAGCAGTTTAGGAAAAAAATCATGAATCACAAGTAAATGAACTTACATATTCAAAAACTTAAGGAAACCTTTACTACATTGACATATTT